CTAGTAGAAGATTCAACAACCTCTTGAACGTCATTATCAGAGATATGATCAACTTCAGAGATATGACCAACTTCAGAGATGTATTTACTACTACTATCTATATTTTTTTTATATAAAATAGGTATTTTAATGAAATTTGATTTATTATAGCACACAAATTATCTCAAATAGAATCATATGAATAATTAAACAAGATAATATTAATCTTTATTAAAAAGGTCAGAACAAGCTCTTTATATACATAATTTTATTTATTTAATTTAATCTAAATTAGAATATTATTATCTTACTGTTCGCTATGATAATATTAATAATTATTTTCTTTGATGAATTGATCATATGATTTTTAGATAATTAAGACTAAAAACGACATTATGTGTGAATCATATGATGTTTCTTCAATGGAGGTTAAATATCGCAATGATGAGTTCTCCTTTAATCTGGCCTAATCATATGATTTTTAGATTATATTTTAATCATATCTGCATGAATTATACGACGTTTAATAAGGATTTAATATCGCTACAGCGAGCTCTGTATAGTTTTCCTTCTTTATATTTTCCATTCTCCTTATTGTTCAGATCTATTTCAGAACATTCGCATGAATTATATGACATTTCAAAACAGGGATCTAATGTCGCTACGGCAAGTTCTTTATGGTTTTCTTCTTTATATCCTCTTTAATATTCAGATCTATTTCAGAACATTTGCATGAATCATACGACGATATTTCAATGAGGATTTAATATAGTTATTGCGAGTTTTTTATATAGCTTTCCTTCTTTATATTTTTTATTTTCTTTATTATTCAGATCTATTTCAGTTAATTATCTTTGCATCGCCCCTTTTTACTCCATATTCTCCCTTATGTGGTATATTTACCTAATATGTCACACTTAATATTATTTTGCACGTACATATATGTACGTACATACATACCTTTTCCTTATGCCATTTATGCAAGCATATTCATAGGTCTGTTATGCAGTATAAATGATTAGACTACCACGTGGTCATATATAATCATTATTTAGAATTCTTGAATGGCATTCAAATAATTAAACGGAAAACTTAGAAACTCTTTATCACTTACTTTTGAACTTAGCTTAATCGGCAAGTTTCACTTAGTGTCGCTACTAAAGTCAAGTACGTAATCCTGTTTAAATTTTGAACAAA